ATCATGATAACTTTTTTACTCCTGAAGATCGCCCGTAAAGTGGAATCTGTAGCTAACGGTACGCCGGGTACGGGAGTCCGTGGTACCGGAGGATTTTCAATCGATCAGTCAGCCGCGCTTGGCGATGCGCATCGATTCCGCGCGTGGGGCTTCAGTTAGATCGTGGCCCTCCCTCGTACAAATCGAAGACCTTCTACAACATCTCCTGAACATTCCGCGTCTGGCTAAATCTTTCACAACCAAAATCAAGGTAGGATGACGAGGTTATCTTCTTCATTTTCATAGAGGAGAGGCGAGACACTGGTTGGATAGATCTGCTGTTGCTCAAGTATCTAGGCACAGCACTGCATAGCTATCGATAAACAGCAGCGTGAAGTCTTGCTTCGAACTTCCAAATTGACTTTGATGCATTAATACCGGGTTACTATATTTTCACTAATAAATCTTGCATGTGAGCATGGAACTAGACGTTGTTGAAAATTACGATGCCGTGGTTTTGACGCCGAAGCAAATGCGCAGTGAAGAAAACGCACCTGCTGTGACAGCAACATGCCACGGAGCCCAACTGATGAATCTACCTAGTGCAGAGAGCTCCGAAATTAATTGCAGTTCATGCCTTGGAAAGAACCCGCGGCGAACCATAGCAATTCAATAAACGCCTCACTACAATACTTGGCAGAACGGAGCTAGCAATGCACGCGTTTTAGGGATTCATAATAGTAGCGACAAGTCTTACATGCAGTTCCTGGCACGTGATGGGAAAGGACATGTTTTAACTCCTCGCCATACTCCAAGATACGTCCAGCTCCTCAAGAAGATCCAAGGTTACAAGGGGCGAGGGTAGGCGCAAGGCCAAGGCAATGCGTACTATTGCAACGAAAAGAAGGACCGTTCTCCATACTCCGGTACAATGATAAAACAAGCAAATCGCACAAGGGGGAATCATCGCTGTATGCTGCAAAGAGAGCCACACCCACTGGGCATGATAGCCCTGGACACCCCGCGCCAGTACCCATGCCCGTGCGTTAATGAAGCCAAATACAACCCAAACGACTCAACACCTTGCCATGATTGAAAGGACAGGATATAGTGGCAACAATAAATGAAGACCGAACATGCAAACGCTCCTCGATGAGCACCCTCAACTCCTCAATCATGACTCATAATGGCATAACAAATGTCTGTTGGTGTCTCTAGCGCCCCATCATGTAGGTGGAATAGCTTGAGAAGCCGTTCCCAGCACCACTGGATGCAAGAGGCTGGCGCATAGCACCTGCCATGTCGTTGTGGCCCATGCCAAAACCACCATTAGAGTACATGCCAAAGCCAGAGCTGTTGTTTGAGTGTACTGTGGTGGACAAGCCCGGAGGTACTGACAAGCCAGGCGGTGGGCCGGTAGCCGTGGAAAAGCCAGGCGGGCCTGCGGCACTGCTACCGAACCCCGAAAGAGGCGTAGAAGGAGCAATGGCAGACTGCGGACCCATGACGGAATTCTGGCCACTACGTACGCCCAAGGGATTCTTAGAGAAGCTCAGTCGGATGCCGCCCTTGACGCTGTTGTGGAGCATGTATCCATAGAGCTCGTTCAGAGCCTTGGTAGCGAAGGATGTGTCTTCGAATTCGACAAAACACATGGGTCCATTCTGCTTGGTGCGGAAACAGAGTCGCTTGTACCCACGTTGCTTGGAGAAGACAGCTTTGAGCTCATCTTCTGACGTGTCCATGGGAAGATTGCCCACGTAAAGAGTGTTGCATGGTGGGTTCTGATCAGCGGGGTTCACTGGGGGATAAGTGGGCCGTGCGAAATGCTGCGTATACTGCTGGTAGCCTGTATTGGGTCCGCTGCTCAGTGCGGAGGGAATGCTATGTGGTGACAAGGCAGACAAGGCTGGGCCGGGCGACTGCATGTTGGATCCAGAACGTGGGGAAGCAAAGTTGGACAGGGGCGGGGACGTGGCATTCGTCACGCCGTTTGTGTTTAGAGAAAGAGATCCGAAGCGCTGTATGGGAATGGAAGGGGTATGGGGGTTGGTAGCGCGACGCTGCATGCTCGAGTGCATTGGCGGGCCACCCGTGGCATAGCCAATCGACTCGTTAAGCAGGCCATCGTCGTCGTCGGCGTCTTCATTGATGACCGACTTGCCCAGATTGCGGCTCGTGAAGGAGGTGTTGACGGGGGATGTCGGCGAGAAAAGGTTGGTGACCGGGAACTCTCCGTTGCCAAGACCTGGGGTCCCGTTGGGTGGGGACATGTTCTCCATGTTTTGGAAGGTGCCGTTGTATCGCGATGACTGCCGGGCGTTGATTGTCGCGCCGGTCATGGCGCTTGTGCCAGACGGTTGGCGCGCCGGCGTGCTGTCGACTGTGTTGCGGCGCGAGCCGATTGCGCCAGGCGATGCGTCCTGCGTCAGCTCGACGACCAGCGTCGCATCGTTGGTTGCATTGCGCTTCCCGTCGAGGAGGTGACGCGCTTCTTTTGCGCCGTCGAGCGTCTGGAAATGCGCAATGGCAGATGCGAAACCCTTGTCGTCGGCATGTCTGGACGGTGGGAGCATCTCGCAGTCGATCAGGTCCTTGGCGAACAGCAGGATGTTGCGCACAGCATCGCGATCGCTGCTGCTCGGGAGTTTGCGCAACAGGATGGAGTAGCGCGCGTGGTTCGCGGGGCTCTTGTCGAGGGGCCTACGCTCTCCGACGGCTCCCGGCATGGCGTACATGTGCGGTGCGAAGACGTCGGCCGTCATGGTGTTGTGCGATGCAAAGGGCTTGGGCGGCGACGACGAGGTGGAGCTGCTGTGGGAGCCGTGAGAGCCGTGGGGGAAGGGGCTGTTGGACAGGTTCGAGGGGCTTGTGCTGCTGGGACTCGGCCGGGCGGCCATGGCGGCCTTTGTCTTGACGGCGGTGCGGCGGGTGTGGCTGCGACAAAGGACGCGGCGGCGCAGAAGAATTGCGCGTCGGCGGCGGTCAAGATGGCGACGATGGTGAGGATGGCGGCAGTGATGGTGTTGGCGACGGCGGCAGCGGCAGCGGGTCCTGGGCAGGTGGTGGGTGTCGGGGGCAGTGGGAGTGGCAGGCAGGGCACGGCGGTCGAGGGCGTGAGCGTGGGCGGGCGGCGGGCCTGGGCGATGCGCGCTGTCGAGGCTCTGGCACACTCAAGCGTCAAGCCAATGGGCGGCAGGGCAGGAATCGCAGCCAGCGGGGGATGCAATGCAGCAGAGGCGGAAGGGCGATAGCGGCAGCCTAGCACTTCATCATTCAAGGCAGAGGCAGTGGGCAGGCGCAGGCAATGGGGCGGCTGTGGGAGGGGAGGAGAGGCGGCAGAAGTGCAAGTGAAACCCTCAGGATAGCGTTGACGGGGGCGCGACTGCCCACTTGGTGATGCGCCCAGGGAAGGCGCGTCGGAGCTAATTTGATTACTGTGCGAGTCCTGGATTCGCCCGTCACACAGGTACCCCATCTCGACCACTCGACGACGCGCTGCGCTACACCAGCCTGCTCGATTCCCACGGCGAGACTCGTCGCGTTGGGCTGCTTGCCGTCTTGTTGGCCCTCCGGCTCTTAGCGGCCTCGAGTATAGCCAGGGCTGACTTTAGCCTCTCCCCCATCGTCGTCGCGGCCTGGGCGAGAGAGATCGGCCCCAAGATGCACCGCTTGATCCACGGAACTATCGTTCATCCACGGGCCCCTATCTGCGGGCCAGCAACCAAGGCACGCTGACATTGCACGTCCGGTGTGCTGAGCCCAACCCATCGTCACCCGTCCAAGCTGCTTATCCGTCCCATCGTCTATCAGGCAGACATGCACCATCGGCCTTTTCTGCCAATCACTGTGCCTTGCGCCTAGACTCGGCATGCCGGTACACACCCCGGGCCAAAAGCAAGTTTCGTCGAGTACAGTCAGTCTGTCCTCTTCAACGCCCTCCATGGCACATGCTCAGCGCCGCTGCCCAAGGGTCTGAAGAAACCCATCTTGTGCACCTGTGAGAGGGGGGAAGGCGTTCATTCGCCCATTGCTTCGGCCATGTACCATGCTTCTTTACTGCCTTTGTCCAATCATAGGTGTGCTCACCCGTCTTTTTCCTACGCTATCCTTCTGCCCCTCATCCATGGCCCCACGAGACATATCAATGGTTTACGATCGATTGTCATGTAATTCCACACATATTTGTTGAAGTAATCTGTGGCTTCGGTCTAATGGCCGCCGCAAGGCAAGGCAGAAAGAGTGCTTCCAGTATCGCGTGTTGTGGGGAACGTTCCAAGGCCTTGATTAACGTTCGACTAGATTATCGCAGCGATTGGCCTGACTGCCTGGGTCCGCGCAACCTGCAACGTAGGAACAAGCTCCAACTGTGAACGCCGTTAGGAATCCCACCTCTCGGATCGTGGCTAGGATACGCTAAACCTCAGTTGTAGAAATGGTAGTCTCTGAAGCAACAGTTCGCATTCGCTTAAAACGGCATGCCTTATAGTAGGTTGAGTAGCCAATCATCACTGCGTAGACGACGCCACTATTGCCATACGTCACCGTCTTGCGGCCGTAAGTCATACATAACGACCACACCGGATCAATCTGCTCAACTCGTTTGTCGTGTTGACACTACCGAAAGCGAGAATACAATACTTGAAACGCTGCATCTTACTGCAGGCATCCAGAAAAGGGTATTATTGCGATACGTACGTCAGACTGTGTAGTAGGATTCGACATAGTATAAAGGTAAGCAGAAGACCACGATGAAACAATCATCATCTTCTCAGAGTTCAGCACTACAAACACAACTTGAACGCTTCAAACACTCAACTCAAACTCCTCTCACCATGTGTTGCAGAAAGAACCGTCAGAGATACTTCGAACAACAAGCGCTGTATTCGCCACCTGCGCGAGGCTGTTGTGGACAACGTCGAGCACTTCTGCAGACAAGCGCCCAAAACACTTACAGCTTCTCCGAACGACCTACCATGGTAAGCCTACAGTGCACAAGCTGCACGCGACAACTGACTGACATGACCAAGGCTGGCCTCCTTGCCATCAGTCTCGGTCTTGGTGCCGAGAAGCTGGGACGTACCATATCCGAGAAAAGACTCGAGCGTAAGGAGAAGAAGGCTATTGCTGTATGTTCCGATCCTGAAACGTTAATCATGATGTCAGCTGACCGGCTCTTATAGCAGCATGAAGCAATTTATGGCTCTTCATCATCGGCGCCACCGCCGCCAATCACAACTCGAGAGCAGAATAGCAGGACGGAAAAGAAACGCGAGGAGGCTCAGCGCGCACTGGATGAAGCTCGTCGAGAGCCACCAAGTGCGCCACAGTACGAAAGGAGACGTCGAAGTATGGAGACAGAGAGGGTCAGTAGTGAGGAACCGCCGCCGAGTTACGATGATGCAGTACGTCACCGTGGAAAGCGCTCTTGACTTGTCCATGTCTGCAGTGGACGCGTATTATATACGATACTGATGTAAATGTGGGTTGGCATAATGCAGGTGATTCCAAGGTTCATCTTATTTTGTAACTATCTTTAATTAGCGAAAGCTATCCTGTTGTTTATGATATCGGCGCCGCTCTTATCACCTGAAAAGTCTTGCTAGCAAGTTCAGAAGCGTCAGTAGATTTCAGTGATCGTATCGTACACCAGGGAGTCGTGGAGGGCCACGATGTTCATTGTTGCCAAGACACTAGTACACGTAGCGCGTCACTAGAATTTCCTGCGAGCTCCTCATTTCTCTGCATTCCAACCTACCACTCCCACCACTAAACTTCTTTACGTGTACACGACTTCCCTTCTTGTTCCTTTCATCTCCAATTCATACCTGCGCCAATGCGGTAGCCCCCCACATCTTCAAAATGCCTCCTCGGTTACGGTGTCAAAATTTCTCAACATCGGCCACCCCATCGCAGGCCACTCAGTGCTTAGCTGCACGGCCACAGGTCGCCTGGAGCCCATCACGGCATTCGCGACATTTCTCACAGACACCATGTCCACAAATCACATTACGGCGGCGGAAATTCTATGAGTGGCTCAATGGGCCGGGTCGACAGCTCAAGGAACCTATACCCGACTCCACAAACTACCTAGGAGCTTACGACAAGTACGGTAACCTGGTACGCGCTGGCCCTGGATGGCGGAGAGATGGGGGTGCGAAGGCTGCTGCCTCGACTGAGGCAGAGCAAGCTGGAGCCGAGGCCAAGGCAGAGGAGACGACAGAAAAGGCCACACCTGCAGGACAGGAGAGCCTGGATGCACTAGATGCTGCCATTCAGTCTGGTGCAGCTGAGGAGAAGGATACCAAGAAGCCGAAAGAAGCGGACGACGACAGCAAGCTTCCGCCTGAGACGGCAGAGGACTTGCGACCCTTTCCCCTCAATCAGTGGTTCCGCAGCCAGCCAGTATTGAGCGAAGACCTCCGGGAAGCAATCTGGCGGAGAGTCAAGAAAGATGGGGCGACAGTATCGCTCGCCAGTGTCGAGTTCGGCGTCAGCAATGAACGCGTCGGCGCTGTTGTGCGACTGAAGCAAATGGAGAAAGAGTGGATAGCGCAGGTATGTTCTCCCATTTTTATCAATTTCCCCACAACACGACATGATGAGCTTCTTAAAAATCGATTAGTCTTTAAGACATCCACATGGTTACAAAACTTAAGTCATGCTCTTGCTGAACGTCGTCGGCTTGTTCTTTGAAACAACGGAAACACACTGTATTACAATTGCTAATCCAATGTGTGCAGGGTAAAACACTCGCGCTCCCTTACTCCAAGGCTGTTCTTTCCATGCTTCCAACAACCCCACACATCGATACCTCGCTTCCTGGGAACAAGAACAAACGTCCTATCACGCACGAGCCCATCAACGACCTCGCGGTACATCCCGCGACACGCCAGCAGCTCTTTGTGCCTGTTGCTGAGTCTCGGCAATTCACGCGTGAAGATGCTGGCAAGGCTTTTGACAACACGCTGTTGCCGGCCGACGCACGCATTCCTCATCCAGAACTTGTGCAGGCTGAGCGTGAATTGCAGTCTGGACTTTCGTTCGAGGAGCGCAAGAAGCTTGCCGAGCAGCGATTTGAGCAAGAGCAAGCAAAGAAGAGACAAGAAGAGAAGCGCAAGGAAGAGGAGCTTAGGGCCATGAAAGTGGTGCCACAGCGGAGGTGGGATTTCGTCTTCAAGGACGTCAGCGTAGAGGCTGCAGGCAGAGATGGCAGAGGCGCCGCGGCTGCTGGATGGCGGTATGGTGTGCCGCACCAGGACCGCAAACGAGGCATCCCGAAGATCCCTACGCGGGTTGAAGCCTAAATTTATGTATAATGCTGTATATATAATACATGATGATCTGACGCTGGCCTTCACCGGTGCTGCATCTTCTGGCCACCTCGCTTCTCCATCTTGGCCTGTCTCTTGCTTGCTTGCGGCTGGGGTACACCGGCTGCATCCTGATATCCACCCCTCATGCCCGTGTAGGTGGTGTAAGCGGAATAGGCACTGTAGACGGGGATCACAATCCACAGGAGCCAGGCGTAGTCTCCCACAATAGCAGCCATAACAATGCAGCCATATGTCCAATAGACGACATCCCACATGTACTCAGTCAGGCCCTTGGCATCGAGGTCTTCGCCAGGTCGCTTGACGGCGCCATCGGCATCGAGGGTGGGGCGCGAGAGGCGCTCGAAGTACAGCTGGATGAGCAGTTGCGGAGCCGAGAGGAGTAGATAGACGATCAATGACTTGCGTGACAGTGAGGCGCGGAAGACGAGGGCACGCAGGAGCCACCAGAGGCCGTGGACGGCGAGGGTGATGTAGAGGGTCTGGTTGAGGCGCTGGGCATTGGAAGCCGCGAGCGTCTTGGTGGCTTTCTACGGGGACTGTCAGTGACGGATGCGTGGGAGTGGGCGGCGGGCGCGCGGGCGTACCTTGGCCATGGTGAAGGTGCGATGTGGCTGTGACTGGCTGGACGTGTGCAGAGAAACGTCGTGCGTCTCTAGGCGGGACATTGTTTTGTTACATGTCTTGGCACTCGTAGCGCGTAAACCTACACCTTGACCGCGTCCACCCGCCTGCCCGCAACATCACCACCGCCGCCGCTCCAGCCAACGCCGTCCCGACTATGAGCGCATTACCTTGAGTCTCCGCCCTGTCTCCGCCGCCGCCCAGCAAGCATGTCAGCACCTCCAGGCGTAAATGCCCAGCTGCGCCAGATCGTATACTACCACCTAGACAACGGCTTCGCTGAAAACGCCCTGTTCTTTGCCGGCCGCCTGCACGCCCTCGATCCTCGCAGCCACGATGCCGCGCACCTACTTGCCCTGTGCAACCTCCGTCTGGGAAGATACAAGCAAGCCCTGGACGATGCGCGGACCAAGGGCAACCACACCCAGCATCTAGGATGCGCCTACGTCTTTGCCCAGGCCTGTCTCGCCCTCGGCCGCTACGAGCAGGGAGCCCAGGCGCTGGAGAAAATGCGCAGTTCCTGGGCAGGGCGCAACCACTGGAGTGAGTATCTATAGGAGTAAACACTGGTGACCTGTATTGACATTCGTCACAGACAAGCATTCCGAGACCTCACGACGCCACGTGCCCGACGCCGCCGCCTGCTACTGCATGCTGGGAAAGCTGTATGCAGCCCACGGCGACTCCAAAAAGGCCATTGAACACTTTGTCGCCGCGCTCAAGATCAACTCCTTCATGTGGGATGCCTTCACCGGTCTCTGCGACATTGGCGCCGTCGTACGCCCTCACAACATCTTCAAAATTACGCCCGACATGCTCCCTCCCGCCTCCTCATACAACCTCCAGCCTAGAATGAATGGCCGCAGCGCGCAGCCGCCTTCATACAACGACGTCGAAAACCCCTTTGTCAACGGCCAAAACGTACACGACGAGCACGCCATGATGGGTGAGGCTGGCGGCCCAGTCCAAATGCGCCCCATAACATCAAGAGCCCGTACCAAGACGAACCCCGAGAGTGATCAGACGGACATTCCGCGGCCCGTATACCAGAACGGACATAAGAGAACCGTATCTGGCCATTCTCTGCAGCAGCCACAGCCCCACTCACAAGCACCGCAGCAACCTCACTCCCAATCACAACAACAATCGCAACCCTTCGATCCTACAGCAGCTCCCCCACGGCGCAGTGTGCGGCTGCTGAACTCCATCACTCAGATTCGGCCTTCAAGTAGCAGACCAGGCGGCACCTCAAGCAGAGACCTCGAGTCGAAAGAGCGGCGCGAGCTACGGAAAGCAAGGGCGGCAGCTCCCAAGCCACGCTCAGGGACAGGTTCGACTGTGGGCAGAGTTGTTAGTGGCAACAGAAAACCGCATCTCGACAACTCTGAGCCCACGAAGCCGGAGAGACCACGGAGCGTGGCGGAGACAACTGTCGCACCGCCCCCCAGAATGGGTCCGCCCGCAGATACTTCACGGGACCGAGATGTCTTGAGCTGGCTACTGGACCTGCTCCTCAAGATAGCTTCTGGATACAGGCACCTGAGTCGCTATGATGCATCAAAGGCACTTGAGGCATTTGGACTCGTGCCCAAGTCACAGCGGGAAACACCGTGGGTCCTGGCGCAGATCGGCAAGGCCCATTATGAGCGCACACATTACACAGACGCAGCCAGCACGTTTCGAAAGATACGAGAACTGGCACCTGCTTCCTCCGAGCATATGGAAGTGTATTCCAATACGCTCTGGCAGCTCAGGGACGAGGTGGCCTTGGGTCATCTTGCACACACGCTGATGGACCAAGATCGTCTCTCTCCACAAGCTTGGTGTGCACTGGGTAATGCAAGCTCTATAAACGGGCAGCATGATGAAGCCGTCAAATGCTTCGCTCGAGCTACCCAGCTGGATCCAAAGTTCGCCTATGCTTTCACCCTCCAAGGTCATGAGCATGTCGCAAATGAGGAGTTTGATAAAGCCATGGCGGCTTATCGCAACGCCATTAGTGCCGATAACAGGCACTACAACGGTTGGTACGGTCTTGGAAACGTCTACGAGCGTCTGGGCAAGTACGAAGTGGCTGAGAAGCACTATCGGGCAGCGGCGGAGATCAACCAGAACAACGCAATGCTCCTTGTTCGGATAGGCTTGGTAAGTCATTATTACCCTTATTTGTCTGTCGAATACTAACATGAGTACGCAGGTTCTGGACCGCATGAAGAAGACTGAACCCGCATTGCTGCAGTTCGAAAACGCGATCAAGATCGAACCACGCTCCGTCATGGCACGCTTCCGCAAATCGCAAGTCCTGCTGAAGTTGAACGCGCCGCAAGAGGCCCTACACGAGCTTCTCTACTTGAAAGACGCTGCTCCAGACGACCCCAACATACATTTCCTGCTAGGTAGGTGTTACAAGAAGTTGCGAGACCGCGCGAGCGCCATCCGCCACCTCACGATAGCCATGAATCTGGACCCGAAGA